CTTATTTGTTTATACAAAAAAAGAAATTTTATACAGTATAATTTTAAACAAATCTTTAACAAATTAGTAATTTCTACAGTATAGTAAAAGATAATTTGAAATCAAACTTCGAGCAACCAGCAAATGCAAGTTTACTGTAGGAACATGTCGTACAATTCGGTTGGTGGAATCTCCCTGTGTGCAACATATACTATCCACTTCTTTTAGTCCTTAATCGGCCTTGCAGAATATCGTTATACATAAGTGGTAACTAAAATAAAATTTGGAAACATAATAAAACTCCTTAATATGGTCTAGATATCGGGGATGGAGTCTGTGGCACCGAGACCTCTGAGATTAGTGGCCAAAAATGTTTACAAAAACGTAATGCAATAATGGCATATTGACTACTATTGTATAGTTTCGGAAATTTCAGCCGCTCCAAATCTCTTTCCTGGCTTCAATCCTTTTGTCTTAGTAAACTCAGCGAGAATGAGTGACGTCGTTTTGTGGGACCTTTGTGCAACATTTAGCCCTCTCAAATAGACTATCAAATTTTAACAAAAAAATATTGTATGCCCATATATAGTCATGATGTGCCTATTGTCATGTGATGTCATCATGACCATATTTAGGCATGTCACATGTTTTTGTCAAGTATAATTTGATAGTCTGGACAGGGCTTGGGGGGGGGGGCGCTACAGCAGAACTTATCGCTAGACCGTTATATCTGGGTTTACATTCACTATAGTAAAACCTATAATAGCCTATTTGTATGTGTTATGAGACGTAGATACCGTAGATCCATGTTCATTATCAAAGCACCGGCATAAATTACACTTATTAAAGGAAAATTATTTTACAATTTAATGGGAAATGCAATTAGTTTTGCATGTTTATGTTTAGAGCTTTTAGAGTTAATACCGTTAATTGTAAGTTAATTGTTTCAATACTACTCCTGCCAAAGTTATGTTAACTTTATAATTATTGGTATTAAATTTAATAATGAAACAAATTAAAAGAGTTTGTATGGGTTATACCATTATACGAACAATTGTGACACCAAATATTGAAAATATTTTCCACGAATGAAGACTGTTTAGTAATTATGAATCAATTGTTTAGTTAAAGCAAGGTATACGTGTTCTCTGCAAAAACAATTACCTTATGGTTTACTGCAATTAGGGCCTATTCTATTTTCATCTATGATAATCTTAGGCTTAACTAAGGTAGTTAGCATAACCATGACGGCCGTTGTGAAATATGTACTTTTGCGTACTTGTAATGTTTAGTGAGATTGTGCTGCTTGGTTAAACATCATAGGGAAATATTCTATGCTTATATCGATGCGTGTAGCATTTGAAAGGTTAGAGTCACGTGGAGTAGTTTCGTAACGAGGATTTCGAAAAAAAAGGGGGTGGGGGTGGGTGCTAAGTAGTATTAAAGTCTACTTAATAATGCATCGGCTCAGTAGAATAATAACAATAATTAAAATAATAACAAATAATAACTAATAAAAATAACAATAATAATAATGATGATAAAAATAATAATAATGTTAATTCCCATAATTATTATTTATTATTATTATTATTATTACTATTATTATTATTATTATTATTATTATTATTATTATTATTATTATTATTATTATTATTATTATTATTATTATTAGGCCTATTATTATTATAATAATGCATTTTTTTGTGTGCCGGTATCCATCCTTAAAGACACTTGTTGCGCATCTAACCAATTTGCAATTCAAATATTAAACTACACATAACTTAAATAAATTAACTTATTTTGTTAAAATTTAATTATGAATACACATTTTCTCTACAAGCCATCCATCAAAAACAATGCCTACCGTAAAAGCGGTGCTTATAAAAAAATATTGGCGTGGCCATTTTCATGCCCGTTCCTTTGTTACCTATTTCACATATTCCCTTACTTCAGTAGGCCTATCATATGTTCTATCGTTGTACGTTTATAAAGAAATGCTTGAGTCTTCATTGTGTTATTTATTCATTTTAACACTGCATACCATGTATGAAAAACCCTGTTTCATTACAAACAGGGTAATAATTATATTCCCAATTAAGCGATCGAGAGCGGCACTTATTAGAGCATTTAGGTAGGCCTATACATTATTTTGTTTGAACATTGACTTGTTTGTTTATTAGTTTAGCTGTCCCCAGATTGAAGTTAAAAATTTCTGCAAATTCCACTTCCTTGAAATTGCCTAAAACTAAATTATTAAAAAAATACATATGATTTATGTCCATTTTTTTTTTTATTAAACTGTTGTTATTTAATAGTGCGGGAAAAAGTGAAAAATGCTAGTTATGAATTATTTTTTAAATATGCATATATAATTACAGCTAAAGGCAAATTATTTGATGTTAGATTCTTTTTAAAAACTAAATTATTTCAGTTTTAAAAAATGTACGGTACCGGTATATAATGATTTACGTTATTTTATTGGTTTAAGTTTTGTTATATTGAAGCATTTTAGTAATTGGATTAAAAAATCAAGAATTTAAGATTTAAAAGAATCAGTTTTAATACCGAATTTTATCATTGGTGGTCATGAAAGTTGAACTCTGTGTATACAAGTTTTTGTGTATATTGAATAACGATTAGTAAATGAAAGGTAAAGGTAACGGAAGTAACACTTCTTAATTTCGCTCTAAATAGAGAAATCCAAATCCCACATTAAGCGCCAATAGTGGTCCCGTCTCCTGTAGAGCCTTAATTAAATAAATTTAAATTAAATTTAATGGACTTTACTTTTATAACAGTGGCACACTTAAAAAGGATCTATGGTGCGTCCGAAATATTTTACTTAATAATCAAAAACATAAAATTAAAAAAGAAACTTTTTAGTGTAGTATTTTTTTTTTTAAATCAAAGTTTAGAGCTCACTCCTGCCTTTTTTATGAACCTAAAATATTGGATGTTTATAAACTTCATAATTCATATTATATCGGATATTCAGTGTATATAATAAATCTGATAATTTTTTTTTTTAAATTTTCATAATACCCGATTTAATAACCGAAACTAATCGCGATGTCTTTACTAGACGAGCAGTACTGGGTAAAGACAACTTGATTTCTTGGTTCTTGGCTCAATACTATAGCAATTATAATGTGACGTGGCCTGCTAAAATAAAAAAAACTTAAATCAGATTATCACGGTATTTCTACACGTAGCGCGAAGTGGTATTAATGTATCTAATGCCCTGTCCAATTTAAAATTTGATACATATCTTGACTAATATGAGCATATCATGACTATATATGGGCATATCATGACTATATATGGGCAGATCATGAAAGAGATGGCTTTTGTAGGGGGGGGGGGGAAGGAAACTAACTGCACTTAATTCTAATTTTTAATGGTTTAAATTGTCTTCGTAGGCGTAATTTACAATTGTTTTAAATGTTGTTTCAATCTGAAAATAATGTTCTATAAGAATGATTATGAATAATTCATGAGATTTTGCTAAAATACCAAATTGTAGACTGAGGGCGCTATTGTGATGTTCAAGTTCCTATAGGAACTCTATGGTTGAAGTAAAGGAAAAGGTAAAGGTAGGAGAATAACCCATCACTTGCAGGGCCATTGTGCTGAATTGCGTATTAGCCTATTTGTAAAACTACTGAAATGAACTTTAGCGGGAAAAAAAGTAAAGGAAAATTAATTTTTGGTTTTTCTGAACCAGCATACCCTATAGTGTCTCAGAAAAAAAATCCCCATGCCTAGGGCTTGGGCAATTTTTTTTTACAGCACTTTGAAATTTTGGCCTAAAAGAGTTCGGTGCTGTGTTGGTGTTTCTCCCTCTTGAACGATTGTGTGTGGTTGTAGTATCTGGATTTGAAGGGTGGCTCTGTCAGTCCGATGTAAACTTTAGGGTCGTCTT